TAATGGAAACAGTCCTGGCCTGATAGCCAGCGTGAGCCAGAAAGAAACCCTGGCAGGCCTTCAGCATGATGACACTGGGCTGCAATCTCTACAGGTACAGAGGGATGCCCATGGAGGTGGTGCAGGCAGCCAATGCTGGTCATGAAGTTGGATGGAGAAAGAAATGGAGGGGAGTAAGCATCAAGGGGGAGATTAAAATTATTTTGAAAAAAAATCAAATGTACAAAAATTATTAATTTTGTCACAAATTTATCGTGATTCATTTTTGCTTGCTTGCTTGAACACGGTCTGCCTGGCACCTTGAATGGTGCCTATCCTCGTCCAGGGCAGGCCTACTCAGCCAGGCTGTTTCTGGTGCAGCAACCAAACAAGCTTCAAACAGAACCTAAGGGTAAAGTGGACGATTGTCGCCATGACAAGCAGGGCTTGTAACCCCCCTGTAATGGGACATGTGCCCTGCTAAATGCACCCACCAGAGACTTGTACAAAAAGGATGTAGACAGGTTGGAGAGAGTCCAGCAGAGGGCAACAAAAACAGTTGTGGTGGACATGATTTGTGAGAAGAGGCTGAGGAAACCAGGTTTATTTAGTTTAGAGAATGGAAGACATTTAATAGCAGCCTTTAACTGGTCCCAAGGAGGACAGAGCTAGACTCTGAGATGACAGAACAAGGAGCAATGGGCTCCAGCTGCAGCAAGGGAGGTTTAAGTTGGATAAGATAGGAGGGTGGAGAAGCACTCAAGCAGGTTACACAGAGAGGTGGTGGAGTTTTTTAATGAATCCTATGAACCAGCTCTAGTCCTTATTGTCTGTACCATGGTTAAGGGCTGGTGAGGTCCCTCCAGGTGGAGTTCGAACCCAGTCCTTGGCTTAGGAGGCCAGTGCTTGATCCATTGTGCCACTGGGGTTCCTTGATAGACGGCTTCCCAAAGGAAGGAGTTACCTGTCTGTACCCATGTGTTCTCAAAACAAGGGTTGATGATGAATGCTTTTCTTCTGGCACTTCATAAGAATTGTCATTTACTGGGTCAGAACATAGATCCCTCATGCCCAGCCTCCTGTGTCATACAGTGCTAGACAGTGGATGCTAAAAGGCAGAGCAAACAGGACCGGACTAGTGTATTTTGCACTGTTCCTGTTCCACTGGCAGCCTCCAGTGTTAAAGGTCTAGGAAGTTGTGATTCAGAGGCTGTATGCTCTAGAAGAAGCTCCTGGGTGGCCATCATGCTGTCATGGAGGGCAACATGAACCCCAGAAGCCAGGGGTTGCTCGCTGGCCACCTGCTCCTGCTCGCCGACCTGTGGTGCTCACATGCCTCCCTCACTGCTCACGTGCTTCTGCCACTGGTGTCAAGCCTGTAAGCTGGCCAGTCACTCCTCCATGATGGTGACCAGCTTGCCCAGCAGGAGGGTGCTGTCTTAGGTCTGCTGCTGGTGGAGACGGTGCATTCAGAGGGTTTTGGTCATTGGTGCGCCATTCCTCATGCTGCATCCCCGGTGGCAGCTGGTGCCTCTCCCCCACGCGCAGCTGCTAAACCTGCAGAGCAAGGACACTGTGGACACTTCTACGTGTCACTATGGCGATACTGTTATTGCATCATGATTTAGTATTTCCTTAAATCAAGGTGCAGTAACAGCCCATACTATGCCGTGCGTGTGGCACACCATTATTTTTAGCAGCATGCTGTACAAGGGGAGCACACTGCTGTGGTGATGTAGCTGCTGGTCATGTGTAGATACCCACAGACACTACTACATCACTGTAGTGCATTGCTGTAGCAACGTAGCATCACACGTAGACATGCCCTGCAACGGGACTTCCCGCAGCCCCTGTCCAAAGGGTTAGAAGAGAGTGGGCCAACTCCTTCCCTTCTCCTCCTGAGGCCAGGCAGTTTGCTCCCATGGGGGCAGGCTCACGCTGCCCAGGATCAGAGGAACTAGGGCTCCCACTCATCCGGGACACAGAGCTGGTGATGCCCCTGTTCTGTCCCTAGTACGTCTCACCAGGAAGGTGGGATGGGGCATTGCCCCCACTGTGCCCTGGTGGCCTGTGCCCCGAGCATGCCTCTACTGAGACTTCCCTGGTCACACCACAATGAGCTGTTTGAGCATACTGAGGGGTGTCCAACCCACTATGCCCTGCTGCTGATGATTGCAATGATGCCCCAGGTGCATATGAGAACCTGTTTGTTGCAGGACTGAGCTTCAAAGGTGCCCCAAGCAATCCCACACTTCCCCACAATGTGTGCCACTGCCTGGAGGGGTACTTCTGCCTATGATATGAGTCCCTGACCCCTGCAGCTGAGGTGGAGATCACCAGTGCCAACAATGAGTTTCTCTGCAAGTGACAGGCATGGGGTAGCTAGGCCAGGCAGGGAGAGAAGGGAGGGACTAGCAGGGGATAAGAAGGGGCAAGCAAAACTTGGAGGACATCCGAACCCCAAGCCTCCAGGCTTGGGCCTGCAAGTAGGATGCCCGCCAAAGATTTTGGAAACATCTGAAGCCCCAGATGGGGGTGGAGGATGTTTGCCGGTAGTAGGGCCACTGATGGTTCTGGACTGACTCTTGGATTTGGAATTTGTTTGGGCTTATTCGGCTTGGAATACAAAAAAAAAAAAAAAAATCTCATCGCTTCTCGGCCTTTTGGCTCAGATTAGTGCCTATGCTTGTCATGGATACACCGTGACCACCGCGGCGGTTTTCCTAGTCGTACCCAGGGATGACCACTTTTCTGACATGGGGGTAGTACCCACCAAGGTAATGTATAGTTAACCTTCCACTTACCTGCTGGAGTGTTTGGCTTTATGCCCACTTTGTGGAAATGGGAGACTCCTCCCTAGCTTGCTCCTGTGGCCATATGGCTAAGGGCAAGCGAAACTTGGGGGCATCTGAACCCCAAGCCTCTGGGCTAGGGCCTGCACTTAGGATGCCTGCCAAAGGATTTGGGAACATCTGAAGCCCCAAATGGGACGGAGGATGTTTGCCAGTAGTAGGGCCACTTATGATTCTGGACTGACTCATGGATTAGGAATTGCTTTGGGTGATTTGGCTTGGAACATGGAAAAATTAAAATAATAAGAATAAAAAATATCTCTCCTCTTGCCCTGGGACCAGGGAAGGATTCCTGCAAGAAACAGTGTATTGGATGAGGACATGGAGAGCATGCTGTCCAAATTTGCAGATGACACCAAATTATGGGGAGAGGTAGACACAGTGGAGGGGAGGGAATGGACGCAGGCAGATTTGGACAGGCTGGAGATGTGGGCAGAACAAAATAGGATGCAATTCAACAAAGATAAATGCAGAGTGCTGTGCCTAGGGAGAAGGAATCACCAACACACATACAGATTGGGGGATGACCTCAGCAGCACAGCAGCAGAAAGGGATCTCAGAGTCATAGTTGACTCAAAGATGAACATGAGTTGTCAATGTGAGGAAGTGATCAACAGAGCCAACTGCGCTCTACCATGTATTAACAGGTGCATCACAAACAGGTCCAGGGAGGTGATAATTCCCCTCTATGCAGCATTGGTGAGGCTGCAGCTGGAGTACTGCATCCAGTTTTGCGTGCCGCACTTCAAGAGGGATGTGGATAACCTTGAGAGGGTCCAGAGGAGGGCTACTCGGATGGTTGGGGGCCTTCAGGAAAGGCCTTATGAGGAGAGATTGAAGGACCTGGATCCGTAAGAGAAGGCTGAGAGGGGATCTGGTGGCGGTCTACAAATTTGTTGCGGGGAGTGGGGGGTGGGCAGCAAGGAATAGGAGATGCTCTGTTTACTAGGGCACCTCTTGGCGTAACTAGGAACTACGGCCAGAAATTGATAGCAGATTCAGATTGGACATTAGAAAGAACTTCTTTATACCAAAACCTGGAATGGGCTTCCAAGAGAGGTGGTGCTCTCCCCTACTTTGGAGGTCTTTAGGAGGAGACTGGACAAACCTGGCTGGGATCACTTGACACCGGTGCCCTTTCCTGTCCAGGGGCAGGGGGTCAGACTCAATAATCTTCCAAGGTCCCTTCTGACCCTAAGAATCTATGAAATGTATTAAATGAATACAGGAAAAAGGAAGAGGAACAGCCAAATACCAAGACTGTGGTCCAGGCCATACATGCAGGCATCTGTTAAGTCTATCCAGCCCCTCTTGGGCACCTACATTCCCAGATGCTTTTAATCACTGCAGGATGCCTTCAGCACCCATCCCAGGACAGGAGGACTTGCATGGAATGCTGGAGCTCAAAAAGAGATGTGGGGTCCTTGCGGAAGCACAGACAAAGTTGTCCTATCACTTCCCTGTGGTTACATTTTTTCATCTCTTTTCCAGTGCTGGCTGTTTCTTTCAGTACTGGCCAGTGGTTCCTGATCAGCCTTGGACCATGAGATTGAAGAGCACCCAACACCTTTGGCTTGTTTCTCCTTGGAGTGAATTAGGATAGAGGGAAGAGTTCACCATTACTTTTCTTTTTCAAACCCTGGACAGAAACACCTTTACTTATCCTGCATTGGTGGTTTAGTGGTAGAATTCCTGCTTGCCATGCAAGAGACCTGGGTTCAATTCCCAGCCAGTGCAGGTGCTTTGGTTGAATACTGTACATGCCTTACAAGGATGCCCCTTTGGAGCTTTTCCTCAGCTCTTGACTTAAAAAAACACACAAAACACATCTTCCAATGCAAAGAAGGCAGAACAGCATTTCTTTTACATTATTGATTCCTTTTTGAAACTTCTGGATTTATCTTTTGAATCACATGCAGATGTGTACACAACTAGCAGCACTAATACTGTGTGGCACCATTAAAAAAGCTCATGGCACCCCAGAGTGCCCAATCACCCTGGTGGAGACTTACTCCTCTAGATTATTTCAATAGCACTGAGAGCATGCTACAAATAAGAAGATGAACAAAAGTGCAGCCTTCACCCCCATGCCTTTCCCAGAAAGGAAAATGAATAGTGCAAGAAAGAGAAACCCCACATATTTAATACCTTAATTTTATTTCAGTCTTCACAAAAAAGGCAAGCTGTCCATTGAGAAATGCATCTGGCAGAAAAAGAAGGGGAGGAGAGAATGAGTGGGAAGTTCAAAGCTGGATTCCTGCTGGGAAGGCCAGCACCCTGGACATTAAATCCCAAAATTCAGCTCTTTCCACCTTGAATGACCTCTCCTTTGCCATACTCCTCTTCCACTGCCCTTTTCTATTTTCTAGACCCCTTCACACCTAGCTTGCCTCCCTTTCCTTTCCTTTTTGTTTTCGGTCTTCAGCAAAACTCTGGCAACTATTGCAGAAAGGGTGTTGATGCTGTACCACTCCCCAGGAAGGGCTGTTTCCCCAGAGCCAGGCATAAAGTACCACAAAAGGCATTTTTCTACATAAAATTACACCTCGACAAAGGAGTTCTGCCCCATCCCTTCCTCACCGCCACAACCATAAAATGCTCTTCACTTCACAGGGTAGATGAGAAACCCCAGAGAGACCCTCTTGTCTGGACATGGAACAGAAATCACTGCAAGGCCTAAAATTAAACACTGCTGTGCAGCAACACACTTGCCTGCACTGCCCCAGGGCTGCCATCAGGAGCAGGTCCCATCCACCCCCTCTCGTTTCACGCTCACTTCAAATCAAGGCACTGTGGTCACCGGAGAGGGGAACTTGAGTCCATGCCCCCAAAGCCAAGAGTCTGAAAACAGGTTGGGACATGGCCAGGGTTACCCCAAGGGGATATTGTCATCTTGACTATAGGTCTGGTGGAGAGAAGGGACATTGGGAAAAGTGTGCTGTAGGACCCTTGGGGCTGGGAAGGGGGCTGCGAATCAGAGTGGACCTATTCCATGTAGAGCTAGGTGTGTTTTGGAGATGGTGGGCTGGGAACGTGTTTGGCTTAAAGCTCAGTGTGGAGCTGGAGGGGGTTGGGCTTTGTGGTGGGAGGTGGGGTAAGCAGTACATAATTGCCCTGGCTCAGCCAGGCCAAGAGCCGTGTGTTCGAAACACGCTCAGTTGTGACTTGGACTCTTGCCGGGGTGGAGACTCCCCCAGGGCTCCTGGGAAGCAGTCACAAGGGTCCCATTTCCTCACTGGGAAAAGGAAAACTTGTCTTGTCTCTGGCATGAGTAAGCCACATTCCAGTTTCCAGCCCTTGGATCTAGTTTGACCTTTGTCTGCAAAACTAAGGAGCCCTTTCCTCTCCCATTTCCTTTCCCCTTAAGGGGACATCCAGACTTTGACCCCTGCCCTCCCCTTGCCCTTGTTCAGCTGCAAAAGGCTCAGGCCCCAGAGCTCAGACCCCTGCTAGCCTGACTCAGCAGAGACAGTTCCCCATGCATAGGACAGGCTGAGCCATGGAGAGAAGTCCACACCCTCGGGGGTTACAGTGATCCTGCACCAGGGGAAGGAAGCACCCGCTTGCTTGTGTTCAAGCACCCGCTTGCTTTCATTTCAGAGATACGAAATTGTGATCAGTCCAGTGTAGAATTGACCCAGAGATGAAAAGCATCCTCTGTTTCTCCTCTAAGTAATCCTGGATTTCCAACTCATTCCTTCCTAAGAAAGGACTCCCAGATATTCCTGTTAATTAATTATATAAAATTGATACATGAACATAAATTGCATATATAACAATATAAACTATGGATGTTCTATACATGTGACAAGTAGGCTGTAACCTATGGAATTCCATGCCTCTTTGAACAGGGAATCTATGAGGTGCCAGCCAGCCCCAGCCCAGGTGCAAACCTACCCCCTGACACTCCACCCAAGAGGCAGCTGCACCTTGGGTGTGTTGGATATCTAGCACCTGCCACCTTGTATCCCACTGTCCTGCTCTGGGTCTACCACTTTCAGGAGCTGGGAGGACAACTGAACTAACTGAAGGAGATGGTAGGGATTGGCTGGGGTCCTGCCCCACTCCCACCTCAGTGGGGTGGGCAGTGCCACAGCATCTGATGCAAGGAGGCCAATATTTTTCAACTACCTATAGTGTAGTTTGCTCCTCCAGGGCATGGTGACCCCCCCATGCCTCTCTTTGTCTTCCTCTCCAGAGCCCCACTTATGCCCCAAGATGTTGGGCATGTGGATCTGTCTCCATCCAGGCACTGGCACACAGGAGCTCATGTAGTGGTGCTTGTGCCTGGCTGAGAAACAGGCCGTGGCCAGCAAGAGACCACTCTGCCCTTGTCTATCCACAATCTTGGCCTTGGTCTCCAGCCCTAGGAGCTGGGCTGGCTGGGCGGTGCAGTTAGTTCAACTCTCCTCCCAGCTCCTGAAGGTGTTGGACCCAGAGCAGGACAGTGGGCATGCTAAGCAGTTGATGCCCGTAGGGTTTGGGAGGGGGCATCAGCTGGACCAGGGCTCTGGGGGCCACACAAGTGGGGGGAACAACAGGATCAAATGCTCACGCATGACAGGAACAGAACACACTGTCATGCTTGGCCCTGTTGTGACATCCCACACCAGTCAAGAACAGCCCTCGCCCACCAGCCCCTAGCAGCCACAGAGCCACCTGAGTCATACAGTCATAGACAATGAGGGTTGGAAGGGACCCCAGGTCATGTAGACCAGCCGCCTGCTCAAAGCAGGACCAGCCCCAACTAGATCATCCCAGCCAAGGCTTTTTCTAGCTGCCTCTCAAAAACTGCCAAGAACTAGAGAATCCACAAATTCTCTGGGTGACTTATTCAAGTGCTTTACATGCCATGCTGGCTCCCTGGGGGTGGGAGACAGAAATGTAAACCCCAGGCCCTGGGTCCCAGACAGGTCTGTGAAAAACTTGCCTCAACCCTCTTCCGCCTGCCCCACCACCAACTTCTTTAGCCTGGGAGAAATACTTTTGCCTTAATTCCCAAAGCAAACAAGTGCTCTTCATGGGAGTAAGGGTGGAGAAGACAGAAAGGCAGGGAAACAAATTTCAATGGGCACTGTGGCTTAGTTGGTTAAAGCACCTGTCTTGTAAACAGGGGATCCTGGGTTCAACTCCCAGCAGTGCCTACTTTTCACTGTCCAACACAGTGCAAGGATTAGGTGAGATCTTTGCATTTGGAGACATTGGTAGACTCTCATGGGGGGCAGCCTAAGCAAAGTGTAAGGCACCCTCTAACTACACCAAGGCATTCAAAGCTGAGAGGAAAGGTAGCTTTCCTGCCAGGTAAGTTAAACCACCTGGGCCAAAACCCATGATCATGGTACAAATGCAGGGGCTGTGACCTGTTCCGGGGAGCATGGGTTGCATCTAATATGTTGCAGCCTGTTAAGAGAAAGCTTCACTAAGCTGGACTGAGTAATGGTCAGTCCAGCTTAGTGAAGGGACTATCTGAGGACAATAAACCTTGCTGAAGAAAGGAAGGCACTAAATACTTGAGCCCTCTCTGTGCCATGAGATTGCCCTTCGCATTCACTCTCCTCAATCCTTTTCTTACTTCCAAAATTCTTTTCGAAGTCGGGGGTTACTCCCCCTTCTTAGCAAGTCCAGAGACCTTGAGGGGGTGGCAGGCCCTATAGGGGAACCCTAAC